CCAGTAGGTGGCAGGGCAGGGGACAACCCTTTCCATCCGGCAACCTAAGCCTTGAACCTTCCACCTGTCCTGCTGCCCAGGCTCCTCCCCAGCCCACCTGGCTGACCCCACCCTGGGCTCACCTGCGCTCTTGCCCGAAGAGGCGCTCCACCTCTGCGCGGCCAGGGCTGCGGGTTCGGCCCCCGTTGCTGCCCTGGGACCCTGGCTCCCTCTGTGCCAGCCTCCTGGGTGGGGGCAGGTCAGCCAGCACGGTGTACTCCTCCCTCTCCAAGTTGTGCCTGGTCTCCCCAGGGGGTGCTGAGCCCCGGGAGCCCCCTGAGCTGCCTGGAGGAGGTGAGGGTGCCAGGAGGGCTAGGTCACTGGGTGGGTGGCGGGGTGGGGAGGAGGCTCGAGGTGCATCCCGGTGCCCGATGCACACTTGGGGGGGCAGCATTGGGGAGCCATGCAGAGAGTCCGTGGAGGGGGCCAGGCTCTCCATACTAGTCCCAGGGGGGTCCTGAAAGAAGAGGGAGGGCTCGGGGGCCTGGCGTGGGGGGGACGTGAAGTAGGGTGCATCTCGGTGCCCAATGCACACAGGGGTGGGGATGTGGGGGGGCTCATGCAGGGAGTCTGTGGAGGGGACAAGGCTCTCGGTGCTGGCCCTGGGGAAATCCTGGAACAGGAGGGAGGGCTCAGGGGCCTGGCGCGGAGGGGAGGAGGCCCGGGGTGCATCGCGGTATCCGATACACACAGGCGGGGGGAACTGGGGAGGGTCATGCTGGGGCGACTGGTTCTCAGCATCTGATGTGTCCGGGAGGAAGGGGAAGGGGTCGAACTGGGTGTGGCGAGGGGGTGAGGAGGCCCGGGGAGCATCGCGGTGGCCGATGCACACGGCCGGGGGGATATAGGGCGGCTCGTGGTGAGTGGATTCACTCTCAGAGGCGTGGGGATCTGGGAAGAAGGGAAACGGGTCATATTGCAAATAGCGAGGAGGCGAAGAGGCTCGGGGGGCATCCCGGTGTCCAATGCACACGGCCCAGGGAGGCTGGGAGGACTCGAAAGAGGTCTGGGATGCCCCTCGGGTGAGGTACAGAGGCGTGGGAGTCCGGGGGGTGCTGTGGGGGCCGGGGTTGTGCGAGGAAGAAGAGGCCCGGGCTGGTGAGTTGTGCTGGGGAGGGCCCGAGGAGGCCTGGGGGGAGTCGCGCTGAGCTGGTTTGGTGGGAGATGAGGTCTGAGGCCTGTCAGTTTGGGTTGGCCGAAGGGCGATAGAGGCCCAGGGAACCTCGCTCTGCTTGGAGCGGGATGGGGAGGAGGTCCGGGGACCATCGCTCTGGGTGGGCCGGAGGGGAAAGGAGGCCCAGGGGATGTCTTTGTTAGTACGATGGGGAGAAGGATTCCTGGGGTTATTCCGCTGGGTGGAGCGATGGGGAGATGATGGCCCAGGATTGTTCTTTGGGGTGCAGCACTGAGGGGAGGAGCTCCCGGGGTGGTCCCGCCGGAAGGAAGAGGACTGCGGGTTGTTCCGTTGGGTGGAAGAGGTTCTGGGGGTGTTCTGCTGAGTACAGGATGTTCTAGAGTTTTCCCGCTGGGTGGTCCGGTTGGGAGAGGAGCCTCTGGGGTTGTCCCGTGGGGCACAGGAAGTTCTGGAGTTTTCCCGCTGGGTGGTCCGGTTGGGAGAGGGGCCTCTGGGGTTGTCCCTCTGGGCACAGGATGTTCTAGAGTTTTCCCGCTGGGTGGTCCGGTTGGGAGAGGAGCCTCTGGGGTTGTCCCGTGGGGCACAGGAAGTTCTGGAGTTTTCCCGCTGGGTGGTCCGGTTGGGAGAGGGGCCTCTGGGGTTGTCCTTTTGGGCACAGGAAGTTCTGGAGTTTTCCCGCTGGGTGGTCCGGTTGGGAGAGGGGCCTCTGGGGTTGTCCCTCTGGGCACAGGAAGTTCTGGAGCTTTCCCGCTGGGTGGTCCGGTTGGGAGAGGGGCCTCTGGGGTTGTCCCTCTGGGCACAGGATGTTCTGGAGTTTTCCTGTTGAGAAGTACATGCAGAAAAAGAAGTCTGAGGGTTGTCCTGTTGGGTAGAAGAGGTTTTGGAGTTGTCCTGTTGGGCGGCTCTGGGGGAAGAGGAAACTCGAGGATTGCTCCGTTGGGTGGACGAGGTTCTGGAACTATCCCGTTGGGTGATTCTTGAGGGCGAGGCCGTTCTGGGGGTGCTCTGCTGTGTGGAAGAAGCCCTGCGGGTGTCCTGTTGGGTGGACGAGGTTCTGGGGGTGTCCCGTTGGGCTGCTTGGGAGGGAGAGGAAGCTCGGGGGGCATCAAGTTGTACGGAAGCCGTCTGGGCAGCGTCCCTTTGGGCAGAGCGATGGAGAGAGGAAGCCTGGGGGGTGGTACTTCGAGGTCCGCTCTGTGGTGTCGCAGAGGAAGCCCGGTGCCGCTCCAAGAAGTGCCCACTTTCTCCCCGGAGCTTTGCCCAGTGCTGCCCGGCGCTTCGGCTCCCACCACCCGGGTCTAAGAGAGAAGAGGCAATGCACGGTGAGGGAGAGTGTGCTTTGCAAACTGAGGGATGTCCCATGAGGGATGTCAGGGAGTTCCTAGCATCTTGGATTTGGCTAATTCCTCCTGGGCCTTGGCACCCTGCCTGCAATTTGGGCCCCTGCCACCAGGCGGACAGAGGAGGTGACTGCCTTTGATCAGCAGGTCAGAGAGGAGGTTCCCCCACAGAAGGTGCCTGTCACCCATTCACACCAGGGAGGCGCTGGGTCTCCATGTGTTATTCTCACCACAGTGTCCCCAGGGCCTGAGGGGACAGGGCAGGGGGATGGGGCGGTGAGGTGACAAGATCTGATTAATGTTTTAAAAGATGGCGCCAGCTGCTGTGGGGGGGATGGGCTGAAGGGGCCAGCAGGAGCAGGAGAGGTTGCGGGCTCTGGCAATAACGCCGGCCAGCGGAGCCGGAGCCGTGGTGGCTTGGCCGGGGGTTATGGTAGAGACAAGACGGGGACAGATGGGAGGTGTGTTTTGAAGGCAGCGCTGAGCAGAGCTGCTGGAGGTCAAAAGGGTGAAGGAAGAAAGGAATCAGGATTTGGGGCCCAGCTGCTGGGCGGGTGGTGACACAGAGCAGACTGCAGGAGAAACAGGTTTGGTGGGAGAGTTACGTGGCTGGTGGCCTCCTCTCCACCCATTTTCCTCTGCTCCTCGAACCCAGCATCTCCGTCCACTCCTTAGGGCCTCTGTACTGGTTGTTCCTTCTGCTTGTGAACTCAGACCTCAGCCACAATGCCACTCCCCCTCCCCCTAGGCCAGTGATGGCGAACCCTTTGAGCCCTGCATGTCAGCATTTTGAAAAACCCTAACTTAACTCTGGTGCCGTGTCACATACAGAAATTTTTGATATTTGCAACCATAGTAAAACAAAGACTTCTATTTTTGATATTTATTTTATATATTTAAATGCCATTTAACAAAGAAAAATCAACCGAAAAAATGAGTTCGCGTGTCATAGGTTCGCCATCACTGCCCTAGGCCCTCCCTGTCCACCTGGCCAGTCACTCTCATCGTTTCCTGTCTTAATTCTCCCAAAAGCAGTTGCCGCTCTCTGCTCTGGCTTCCTGTTTGTTTTCTGTCAGCTTCTCTCCGCTGGAGGGCCAGCTCCAGGGACTGGGTCTTGTCTGTCCTCTCCCCTCTGGCTCTCTAGCACAAAGACAGGGCCTGGCACACAGTAGGTGCTTGATAAATACTTATCGAATGAGTGAAATGAAGAAGCTGTGTTGAGTGTGAGGTGCTATCCTACACCCCAGTGAAGAGGTCAGTTGTACAATGAACTAGATAGAGGCCAGGGGAGAGATCAAAGCCAGAGGTGTGAACCCAGGAGATGCCGATTTATCCAGATAGCGTTGACAGCCAGATGTTGTCAAGTTGTCAGAGGGAGGAGAGAAGGGAGCCCAGGACCAGGCTTTGGGGCATCCATATTTGAAGGTCGAGAGGAGGAAGAGGCATCAGCAGAGGAGTAGCCAGAGAATGGTCCTGACCCATCACTGAGCAACTGACTCTACACCTCTTCCCTGAATCTACACCTCTCCCCTGCATCTACACCTCTACCCTGAATCTACACCTCTCCCCTGAATCTACACCTCTACCCTGAATCTACACCTCTCCCCTGAATCTACACCTCTACCCTGAATCTACACCTCTCCCCTGCATCTACACCTCTACCCTGAATCTACACCTCTCCCCTGCATCTACACCTCTACCCTGAATCTACACCTCTCCCCTGCATCTACACCTCTACCCTGAATCTACACCTCTCCCCTGCATCTACACCTCTACCCTGAATCTACACCTCTCCCCTGCATCTACACCTCTACCCTGAATCTACACCTCTCCCCTGCATCTACACCTCTACCCTGAATCTACACCTCTCCCCTGCATCTACACCTCTACCCTGAATCTACACCTCTCCCCTGCATCTACACCTCTACCCTGAATCTACACCTCTCCCCTGCATCTACACCTCTACCCTGAATCTACACCTCTCCCCTGCATCTACACCTCTACCCTGAATCTACACCTCTCCCCTGCATCTACACCTCTACCCTGAATCTACACCTCTCCCCTGCATCTACACCTCTACCCTGAATCTACACCTCTCCCCTGCATCTACACCTCTACCCTGAATCTACACCTCTCCCCTGCATCTACACCTCTACCCTGAATCTACACCTCTCCCCTGCATCTACACCTCTACCCTGAATCTACACCTCTCCCCTGCATCTACACCTCTACCCTGAATCTACACCTCTCCCCTGCATCTACACCTCTACCCTGAATCTACACCTCTCCCCTGCATCTACACCTCTACCCTGAATCTACACCTCTCCCCTGCATCTACACCTCTACCCTGAATCTACACCTCTCCCCTGCATCTACACCTCTACCCTGAATCTACACCTCTCCCCTGCATCTACACCTCTACCCTGAATCTACACCTCTCCCCTGCATCTACACCTCTACCCTGAATCTACACCTCTCCCCTGCATCTACACCTCTACCCTGAATCTACACCTCTCCCCTGCATCTACACCTCTACCCTGAATCTACACCTCTCCCCTGCATCTACACCTCTACCCTGAATCTACACCTCTCCCCTGCATCTACACCTCTACCCTGAATCTACACCTCTCCCCTGCATCTACACCTCTACCCTGAATCTACACCTCTCCCCTGCATCTACACCTCTACCCTGAATCTACACCTCTCCCCTGAATCTACACCTCTTCCCAGGCTCTGGATCCACCTCAGCCCACACTGCTTGCACCTCCTCCCCAGTTCTCCATGGTCAGTGAAAGGCATCGCTGTCCACACAGACACCCAGACCAGTAGCTGGGACCGTGTGTTCTCCTGTCCCCAGTCCCATCAAGCCCACCTCCTAAACCTCTCTCCTTCTCTGTCCCCTCCTCACCCACAGCCACCGCCCTAATTCAGGTTTCTCCATCTCTCCCCTGGACAATTGCAACGGGCTACGGAGGGGTTACAGGAGTGGTGCGTCCATCACCCAGAGAGCAATTCTTCATCCAGAGTGACCAGCTGTTAACAGTTTGTCTCATCTGCTTTATCCACGCATCTGCCTACCTACCTACCTGTCACCTACCGGTGTCTATCTCTCTGTCTTGTTGAACATGTGAGAGTTGAAGACCTCATGACACTTCACCCCCTATGCTCCCCTAATGCATCTCCTATGAGCAAGGACCATTTCCTCCCATCACCGCACTCAGGAAATACAGTGTGGGTCTGAAACTGTTATCTAACATGCACTTCATATTCAAACTCCCTGGCTGTCACAATAATGTCTTCCATAGTTATAACTTTTCCTATCCTTGCTCCACTCCAGGATCCCACGGGCATTTGCTTCTGTCTCTGTAGCCTCTTTTATTTGAGAATAGTTCCCCAGGCCTTTCCGTCTTTCATAGAGTCCTGTCAGCCCTGGCCAGGTGGCTCACCTGGTTGAAGTGTCGTCCCATGGACCAAAAGGTTTCGAGTTCTATTCTTGGTCGGGGAGCATATGGGAGGCAACCGATGATGTTTCTCTCCCCCCCTCCCCCCTCTCTCCAAATCAATCATTAAAACAAATTTTTTTAAAGAGTCCTGCCAGTTATTTTGCAAACAGTCCCGCAAATTGGGTCTGTCTGAGATTGTGGTGGGACCAGATGAGGAGGTGCACTTTTAGCCAGAAGACTTGGAAAGGATGCTGTGACCCCCCCGTGCATCACATGGGGGCACCTGACGCCGCTCTGCCCCCGCTGGGATGTGAGCGGCCACTCGGTTAAGGAAGATCTGCCAGATCTTCCCATCCTAAGGGTGCCTTTTCCCTCTGTAATCGATGTGTAATCTGAGGGGTGACACTTTGAGATCGTGTGACTATCCTGTTCCCCAACCACCTTTCACCCAGGAATTTAGCATCAGCTGGTGATTCCTGCCTGAATCAGTTATCACTACAGTGGCTGCAACGGTCCCTTTACTGGTTTCTCAGCCTCGTCCTGCTCCATCCTTCACGCTTAGCCCTGGTGAATTTCTTTAGGCACAGGTCCAAGCATATCACTCCTCTCCTCCAAATCCTCCCTTGGCTCCCTACTCCTTCGAGAAGTGAGTCCAAACTCCTTGGCCCAGGGTGGTCTGAGCAATTGTGCTCTAGCTGCACCTTCCAGAGCACTCCCCATTCACACCTCCAAGCCGTGGCCAGGCTGTTTCCTCAGCCAGAGCACCACGTCCAGGAGCCACTCCTCTGAGTCCCTCCCTGGCTGGAAGGAAGCTGTTTGTCCTCTGCCCCCACTTCCCACACAGCCCTTTGCTCACAGCAGGGCACGCGCTTCTGCTCCTCCTCCGTCCTGGGCTGCTGTACTGGGGGACGAGCTGTCTGGGCAGGGACCGGGTAATTCCTCCTGAACACCCAATGTCTGGTACCAAGTTTGTGCATAGTTAGCACTGGCATGTTTGATGATTGGATGCTACAGGAGCCATAGGAAGCCAGGCCTGCCCACCAGGGTAGGACCTGGATGCTCGGGCCCATATCCCCGAACCCTGACGATGCGGGAAATGCAGATCAGGAGCAACACAGTGCAGCAGTGATGGGAGGGCCCGAGCTGTGGGAGCCAGCGTCACGTGACTCTCTGGGCTTGGCCTGACCAGCAGCCTTGCCCCTTCCCTTGGGAACACCACCCTGACTTCCTTTGAGCCACCTCCTCTTCCCCACTCTCAAGCCATGAGGTTTGTGCAGGGGGCTGACCCTACCCCTGATCCCCCGATTGGGCACATGACCCAAGCTGGGTCCCCTGGAGAAGCCTTCCTAGGACTTTAGCTACATCTGTTGGGAAGACTGTCCCTTCTGTTTGTGGAAGTTGATAAGCAAGTAGGACACAGCCTGGCACTGCTGCTGCTCATCATGTCACTATGGGGGAGGGTCTGGCTGAGAATGAAGCCACCACAGAAGAAAGCGGAGCAGAGGCCAGATTTCTGATACTGTTTGCACCTGGATCCAGCTATGCCTGAAGTCATCTCCCCCTAGACTTTTTTTAAAAAAATCTATTTTTTAATTGATTTCAGAGAGGAAGGAAGAGGGAGAGAGAGATAGAAACATCAATGATGAGAGAGAATCATTGATCGGCTGCCTCCTGCACGCCCCACACTGGGGATCGAGCCCAAAACTGGGAACTTGAAATATGACCTCCTGATTCGTAGGTCAACACTCAATCACTGAGCCATGCTGGTCAGGCTCCCCCTTGACTTTTTACTCAGCTACTTTGTCGCTTGCAACCTGAAGATCTAGCCCACCAATTGCAGGAGATGTGTGTAAAGCAGGTTGCATGGATGCATGCCTGCTCCATCATTAGATGAGACTGTTACTATTATTAGGACTTCAGCCAGCAAAGTGAGACATGCCCAGGGACCCCGGTGGCCCCTGGCAATCACTCCATCCAGTCACAGGAACCAACCTGGTCCGGCAGAAGGACTCACCCTCCTTCCGGCTCGCAGTGTCTCCTCCCACGGGGGACCGGGTGAGGACGGACGGAGCCCTTTGGGTGCTGTCAGCTCTCGACCCCTCCTGCAGCTTCCGAGGGATCATCTCGGTGATCTCGTCCCCGCCGGGGGCCTCCTCCTGCCTTTTGACAACGTCCCAGTCCTGCCAGGGAAGGAGAGGAGAAAGTGTGCTTGGAGGTTAAGAAGAGAGACCCCCAGCATGAGATGGGTAGAAGGAAGGAAAGGACCTGGCATTGAAAGGGCACCTACTGCATACCCAACACTATGCTGGGCTGTTAGGTGTCAACTCAACTCATCTGGAATCAACTCCTGAGGGAGGCAGCCTGTGGAGCCAAGAACTTGCCCGAATCACACAGCTGGGAAATGGTTTACGTGGGAGGGGACTTGAACCCAGGGAACACCATGTGGCAGGAGGGCCTTGGCATAGCCGTCCCCGCCCCAGAGACAACCCCATGATCCAGAGAGAAGTCGTTTCAAGCCTCGCCCTACCATTTCCCAGATGCACGGCTTCCACTAAATAGCTTCCTTCTCTGAGTCTCAGTTTTCTTGCCCCCAAACAGAGCCATAAAGCAGGTGGTGAGCCTTCCTGAGCCCGGGCTGGCCGCCTCACCACTTCCCTGTCACGTCCTCCTGGAGGTCTCACAGACAGTCTGCCTCTTCTACCCTGGGGAGGCCCTTTGGGGGGTGAATGCCCAGGAAGTTCCTGATTCCCTTCTTCTCTCAGGGAAACGGCCCAGCCTACTCCCTTCCCTCTGTCCTCTGCCAGCACTGGTCATAGGGTGCAGTGGTGTGTAACCAAGGCAGGGCCAGGACCAACCCATCCTTGCTCTGGACAAAACACCCAACCTCCTGGCCCTCTGTGACCTGTGACCTGAGAATTTTTGGCAACCTGAGCCCATTGGTGATTCACATGCAGTGCCCATCAACCAAAACTCCTTCCTCCATTATTTCATAGGCAGAGCCCGGCCCTCCTGCACCCGCCCCTACCTCTCCCAGGTGGGGTGATCGGGCAGCCTGACCCACTAGGCCTCCAGGGGCCCTTGGCCCAGGTCCCTGGTGTGAGGCCCAGCCCTCCTCTGGGAGTTCGGGGCTGGCACAGAGGGGTGATCTGTTCGTGCTCTCAGCCTTCCGCCCCCAGCTCACCACAGAGGACGAGTTGCTGGTATCATCAGGGGCGTCACAGTCAGGGCTGGGGCTGGTGCCAGAGTCGGGGCCCTCGTCGAAGCTGCACAGGGAGGAGGCTGGGCCCTCCAGATAGGGCACTGCCTCGGAGTCCCAGCTCCTGCTCCTGGGGGTGCCTGAGGGGCCCTCCGCAGGGAGCCCTGTCGCCGGCCTCCTGAGAGAGGAGACAGACACATGACTTTTCCCCCAAAAGTTATGGGAATTAAGAAGTAACACCCCCATCCAGGTACACACACACCTCACCTTACAGGGGAAGAGGGAGCTGACACCAGGGCTCTCTATGTCTGCCTGGTTTAGCTACAACAGCCTCTCTTTGAAATGAGTGTAATGATTCCCATTTTACAGATGAAGAAACTGAGGCTCAGAGAGGCCCAGGGACTGGCCAAGATCACAGAACTAGAAAAGGGCAGCGCTGCACTTTGAACCAGGGCTGTGGCGCCAGCCTCGACCCTCCGTCACTGGAGCAGCAGTGGGGACCCGAGCTCAGGAAGCCCAGACATAACTGTGCTGAGCTAATGGGGGGCTCTGAGAGGCAGCAGAGCTCCAGGGGGCAGTGGCAGGGGCACCAGTCTGGATGCCAACGGAGGGCGCTGCAGAGAAAGCCCTGCTTAGGGGAAGCCAGCGAGGGTGGCCACAGGCCTTAGCAGGCTTAGAGCTGGCAGTATCCCCAAAGAGTGGCCCACGGATTGGCCTACAGGATAGAAAGGGGTGTTGACCCCCAAGAAAGAGGCCTGCAGTCAAATAACTTTGGGACATGCTACACACGTCTATCTCCCCGCTTCAGAAGCACAGTGCATGTCTGCAAACTACAGGCTTTGACAAGTCCTGCAAGAAAGACATCCAACTCTGTGGATCCCAGACTTCCTGAAACTAGTTGATGGCAGAGCTTTTGGTTTTTTAGAAAATGTCTACCTGTGAGGAACACATGTTCCCAAAGCAATGCTGGTTTGATTCAGTTCTTATTTTTCAAATGGGGAAACTGAGGCACAGAGCGAGGGAATAACTTGCCCAAGGTCCCACAGCCCAACAGGGATGAAGCAGAATCAGGACCCCAGGTTTCTAGACCCTCAGCCATGCCCTCCCAAAGCCCCTCAGCCCCAAAGGGACTTCAGTGCAGCTCAGGATGGGGGTGGAGGGAATCCCAGAGCCTGGAGCCATGCACAGTCAGACAGGTGGGTGGTAAACCTGTTTAATTTTTTAAAGCTGTGCAAAGGGAACAAGGAAATGTAAGCAGGCTGTGAGCCATGCCCAGGGCAGGGTGGGTGCGTGGGTGCTCTGCACCCTGGAATAAAGCCGAGCTAGGGCCCCAGGAACATGCCCGTGTGCCCAGCAGTATGGACTGGCCATGTGACCCACGCCAGCAGCCACCATAGACAGACGCTGCCATTGTGAAGGGGTGTGGGGTGGGGTAAGTGAGGGCTACCCCAGGGAGCCCCTCCCCAGGCCCTGGGGCTCTACCCACCTCTCGGACTCTGGCCCAAGGCCAAAGCCCACCACAGACTGGCACCCAGAGGCTGAGGCTCTGTGCAGGTCCTCAGATGCAGGCGGGCGGCGGGGCAGGTCGCAGTAGGGTGCCTCCGCACCTGGAGGGCTCCCGGGCTCCTGGGACAGAGTTGCAGAGAGGAGGCACCTCATGGCCCACGTGGGGGTTCCCCTCCCCCTGCGCGGCCCCTCCCCACACCAGGCGGTGTGGAAGTCTCCAGGCATCTCCTCCTAGGATCTCAGACTTCTCAGGAGAGCTGTCCATCAGGCTGGAAGCGCCCCTGGGGATCCAGGCTGAGGGCAGACCGAGGTACAGTGTGTGCATGCACACGTGTGTACAGGTATGTGAGCGTATAAAGGCCTGTGTGTGTGCAGCTGTGCACACGTGCATGCATGTGTATGCAAGGCCGGGGGGTACACTAGTGCATGTTTGCATAAGTGCATGCAAGTTTCTTTATATATGTTGGTGTGTGTGCCTGGGGACATGACGTGCACAGAAGGGACCAGAGAGTTTTCTGTAGCTGGAAAGGAGGAGGAAGGAGGGTGGGGAAGGGTTAAGCCAGCCTGCAGAGGGAGGGAGGAAGAGGCTGTCTGAGGGAGGAGATGGGGAAAGAAGGCCTCATGGAGAGATTTGCCCACTGAAGGAGGGCAGGGGGCCCCAGGGTGGAGGCAAGGCCCTGAGCTGACGGCTGGCTTCTCTCTCCCTCCGCCCTCAATGAGGCCACACCTGTGAAGGCTGGTGCTGGGCTCACCCAGGGGGAACGGCTGCTCACCTCCGGGAAGGCCCCCCCATTCCTCCCCACCTCCCGGGGTGGCAAGGCCCTCCCCTGATGGTGGGAGACAGCGGCCACAGCACCCTGCACCCCGCCTCCTCTCGGGTTACCTGGATGGCGGGCTCCGGCGGTGGCGGCTGGCGGCTGTCAGCACCCTCGTCCCCGGGGGGCTCCGGCTCAGGCCCCCACGCTGCGGCCCTCCCAGGCGCCGACTCTGGGCCGTGGCGGCGGCGGCCGAGGCAGCAGAAACCTTAGAGGGGCCGGCTGCGGGAGCAGGGGCCCCTCATTACTGTTTCATAAGCCGGGGCCCAGCCAAGAACAATGCAGGACATGAAACCACAGGAACCTGATCCCCACAGCTCACCTGAGAGCTGGCAGGGCGGGGGCCTGGGCCTGGGCTCCCTGGGGACCCTGGAGCCCAGAGCTCAGGGCTGAGGCCACAGCTTGGACACAACCCTGGGGTGGGCACAGACTCTCTGGGTTCCAAGAAGGTGGCCCCTGGCAGGTCCTGGGCAAGGCCAAGGAGTGGGGCTAGGGTGTCTGCCATGCCATCCAAGCCAGAGGAGCCCGTCTGGGTTCAGTTTCGCCCCCTGCCCTGGAGCCTGATTCTGATCAGAGCTCGTAGCGGGAGGTGTCAGATCCACAGCCCGGCCTGGCGCCTGGGCCACCCCAGGGACCTCGCAGCATGAATGAGGCGGGAGCAGCTTGCTGGGCATTGCCAAGGGGTCCGAGCCCAGCTGAGCCCAATAGGACCCCAGCCAGGCATGGCACTTCCTCTCTGCTCTTACCCCCAGCCCCCATCATACCCATCGCCCACTTGAGCAGCCCAGCAGCCAGTCCCTGGCTCTGATTTCCTGTCTGGCGGGTCAGCACAGGCTCTGGCCTCAGACAGACATCAAGCCCAATCCTGGCACCTCCACTTCCCAGCTAGGTGACCTCAGCCTGTGGCTTCCCCTCTCTGAGCCTGGTTTTCTCATCTATAAAACCGGGATGATAAGAGGACCCACCTCCTAGGGGTGCTGTGAGAATGAAAGGAGTTAATATTTGTAAGGGGCTTAGAACATTGTCTAGTCTGTACATCTTAAATATAATAGGTAACGTATAAAGATGAAATAGAATTTTATTCGTGTTGAATCGATAGAATGTTAAACACACATAGGAATACTTTAAAAAGGGATGTGCAGTACCTGGCACACAGCACGACCCTCCCAGCGAGGCTCCCTCCCTCCATCCAGAACCTGGCCGTGACCTGCTCAAGGCATGTGATTTCCAGGGATAAGCCCTCCCCCGGCCTGTGGGACTCAGCTGAGAACAGAGTAGAGGCAGATCCAGAGCTGGGATCCCAGTGGAGCCAGAACAAGCTTCGGGGAGGGGCCTGGGCCACTCCTGCATATTCCAAGGTAAAGATGTCAGAATTATTTCCACCGGCAAGAGATATCTTTCCAGGCCCCAGGGAAGAGCTGGAGCCCAGGTTAACTAAGGCTCCAGCCCGGCCCCACACAACCCCATCCAGGCTGGGGGATGCTTCTGAAACACAGATTTTGTGGCTCTACAGGTTTGAAACCACTTATCCATGAGCAAGACTTTTCATCAGTGTCAGACCCTCATGATTCGAGAGGCTTTATCTCCCACTGAGGTCTGGCTCCTCAGCTCTATAACTCAGTAACTTCCCTCATCTACAGTGTGGCCCACAGGCACCTCTCACTCACCGCCCCCAAGCACTCCCGATGGATTTCCTATCCCAAGTACCTGCCTCAGGAAATAACTTAGAAGTCAGCCATGTTTCACCCCTCCACATGCCTCAGGGACCAAATCCTTTAGATTCCCCTGTTCAATTAGTTCTGAAATGTGTCCATTTCTCTCCATCTCAAAGTCTCCATCATCTTTGGCAGGCGTAACACCGTTTCCTCACTGGTCACCTTGATTTACTCTCACTCCCTGCACTCCATTCTCTGTCCTGCAGTCAAAGTGACTTTGGAAAATGCAAATCTGATCACATCACTCCCACTTAAAACCTTCAGTGGCTCCCGTGTCTCTCAGGAAGAAGTTGGAAGTCAGCATGTCTACAAGGCCCCAGGAAGCCCGGGAGACCAGCCCCCACCTCATGCTCCAACACTGTCCTGGAGTTCCTGAGCCTCTCCCTCTTGGTGGCCTCTCTCCATCCTCCAACGTGCCTCCTCCTTTCTGCCTCAGGGCCTTTGCACCTACTGTTCCCTTCCTCTCCTCTTCCCCTAACTTCACTGGCCAATGTCCCCACATAGCCTTTACCAACCAGCTGAAATGTCATTTCCTTGGAGAAACCAATCATTGATCCTCATGCCACTTGCTATTCCTTACTACCTTTACCACAACCATAATTCTTGGCACGATTAGTTAGTTTCCATTTCTCCTGCTAGTTTGCAAGCCCCATGAACCAGGGACTGTGTCTGTGTTACTTATCACTGTTTCCCCAGCATCTAGCATCATGCCTGGCACATGTGAAGCACCTATTCAATATGTGTGAACATGTGAACTGGCCCGTCTCAGCTGGGAAGTGGAGGGACTAACCCTAGAACCCAAACCTGTCTGAATCAAAATTTCTTCTCCTGTTCCTGACTTGCCATCTCCCCGCCCATTAGGAGAAGGTGATTTGCATGGGGATGGACTCACTGAGCTTTCCAGCCATTGTTCCCTAAACTTGCGGGGAGGGGAGCTGTTACTACAGGTATCAGGACGGGCAAAAAGGAATCCCCCAGGTTGGTTTGCCTGATCAGGAAGGAGGGAGGGGAAACTAAGGCGTATTGAATTAGCCACGTGACTGAGGCTAAGCAGTGCCAGATGCCCTGAGTGAGGAGCCTTGCTGCCTTTACTCTTTAGGAGAGTGAAGCCAGAGGGTAAATGACCCAAGGTCACACGGCGGGGAAATGGCAAACCTGGCACTGGAACGCTGGCCGTGTGGCTCCAAAGCTGAACAATGACTCACTGATATTGGCCACTTTTGGAGCCTAACCCCCTGCGTGGTGCTGGCTGCCAGGCCTAAGAGGAGCCCCAGGCCCTGTGGGAATGACAGGCCCATGATGCACCAAGGCTGACGGGCCCATGGAGAATCAGGGTCCCACGCCTCTCATAGCATGTGGACCAGGAGCTCTGGGTTTATGTATGCGGGGACTTGACCCCAGATGGTTCCCAAAGTGAGAAAATGCTTCAGTCCTTCAACACCTTCAAGGAGAACCTTTGCAGTGGCTGCTGGGGTATCTTGAACATCTCTCTAGCACCTGCCAACCTCCCCCCTTCCCCCCAACCTCCCTTTTTAACAGACAGCAGGACTCAGGTTCAGAACCTTTGGCCAACAAATTCTCTAGTTAGAATTTAAAGACACTTCTGCTTTTCATCTTTCTCTTTCCTTCTTTTTAACCTTTTATGTAAAGGATATGGTTCTAGTTTTCTATTTGTGGTGGTGATGTAAAGTTCTGCTTTAGTGGAAGTCGAAAAAGGGAGTTGATTTAAAGAATAAGGTATGTAATAGATTACTTGAGGCAATGGCAAAAAAACAAACAAACAAAACACAAACCCATAAAATCGGGAGAATGCCTGGCATTCGGGAAACATTCACACGGTCCCACTACTTCATTGAACAGATGGAAAAACTGAGGCTCTGCCCAGGAGGGAAGCCAGTGTCTGGGTTCAACTGCAAGTGAGTGTCCCAGTCAGGCCCCAGCCTGTCACGGACTCCCCCATCCCAAACCACCCGACCACTCAGGAGCGCCAGCCCACCTGGTGCCTTGCTCTGTAGGCCTCCTCAGGGTGGAAGCAGTTTTGACAGCAGCTCTGGGCAAGCACATTGGCCTCACAGTGTGCGCAGGAGGCGTTCCCAGCCTCCCCCTCCATACTGGGTGAGTCAGGCCAGCGCAGCTCCTGCAATCCACTGGTGGGGCCCGGGAAGAATGGAGCAGGGAGGTGAGGACCAGGTGACTGGCCAGTAGTGTACCCGGACCCCAGCCCCAGCCTGCCCCTGGACAGACAAAGACCAAGGAAATAAGGTTATTCATCCGTGTATCCATCTGTTCATGTATTCACTCAACAAACACCCATTAAGCACCTACTAAGCACCAGGCACTCTGCCAAGCACTTGACACGTGCTTCCTAGTCCTTACTGCAGTGTTGCTCCGAGTGTGTTCCGAGGACCCTGCTAGACTCAGTAGAGCTGTTTATAAAATGCATATTCCCAGGTCTCTCCCCAGATCCGCCTACTCAGAATCTCTCTGGAGGTGAGGCCTAGGGGTGTGCATTTTAAACAAGTCTCCTAGGGTACTCATGCACCCCAAAGTTGGAGTGCCCGTGCCCTACAATTATCCTGCATTGTGGGTAAAATTCATGTCAGTTTCAGATGAAGCAAGGAAGGCTCACTCTCTCTCCATAACTTGCAAGGCCCCAGTGGCTGAACTGGATTCAAACCCAGGTCTGTGTACCTCCCCCGCAGCCCCCACCCCCAAACACACACACAAGGTGGAAGTGAAGGGCATGGGATCACCCTGCCAACCCACACAGGTCCTTTGGGGAATCCTGGGCGGCAAAAGGCCAGCTAGGTCTTTTCAGAGTTGAGGACAAAGTCATAAACAAAAGTGACAACCTAAAGTCACACAGCAAGATTGTGGCAGGGCCTGGCCAAAGAGGAACCCTGGTGTTCTGACTTGTGCCTGTGGCTGTCCCTTCTGTGCCCCTGGGAGCTCCATTGTCATGCCCTAGGATGGGGGGTGGGAGGGGGAGCCCCAACAGAAGAGTGACTTGAAGATGCCCTCTTAACCCACACAGAGCCCCAGGAGGGAGTGGGGGCGAGAGGAATCCATATTCCCAAACACACCTGCCCCTATGGTACCCCAAGTCACTGCCCAGTACTTTCCTCACCTGGAGAATTTCCTCCACAGCGTCCCAGGGGATCAGGCCTTCCTTGCCAATCTCACCCGAGAGCTGGGGAGTTTCATGTCCTCCGCTGGGGCAGCCAGGGCGAAGGTTCTTGGCTTCTCCATCATCAGACCTGGGAGGCAGCAGGGCACGGTCTGTGGGGAGGAGGGTGGGGCACCCACTGACCCCCGGTGGGGTCTCTGATCCTCTCTGGGCTCTCCTCCCAGCATCGCTGCTCCCAGCTCCCAGTGGTGGACCAGGAGGGACTTGGTCCCGCCAGCCCGGCAGTTCTTTCCGTTTGACCACATAAAGGAGTATCTCCTGGGATGGAGACTGCTGCTCATTTGCCTGGGGGCGGATGTAGAGGACTCTACTCCATGTCCTCCTCACTGCTCCCGCTTCCTCCTCCCCCACCCGCAACCAATCGGCAGAATCCTTCTCTGAAGTGCAGTTTAGATGCGGATATAACAATGAAAAACCTGCAGAGGACACGGATGCCCCACCCGGAGAATGGACCCCTAGACCTCTCTCCATGCAGCCAGTCCCCCAGTCCCTCCCCATATCCTCACTCTCTACCTTTTCCCGCTTACCCTCCTCCCCTCCACCCTTTCCAATGCGCAGAACTAACCTCGGCTCGAGTTTCCACGCACAAGGGGGTGCCAGGGTTGGGTACGGAGGTCACAGCCTCTTTATTTTAACAATGAATCAGAACATTGCCCGGGAGGAGGAGGAAGACCACGCCTCTGCCGCCCTCTCATAGGCTCTCTCTAGGTTCTTTATTTACATGAAGACTGTGCGATTGGACAATCCGAGGACAAGGGGCGGGGCGGAGGCGGGCGGTGCCCAGATGCCTCTGAGCGCGGGACCCACTGCACGTTAAGCCTGAGCAACCAGGTCTGGATCCTCCATGGCTCCTCATGATCTTCCCCTTTGGTTCGTTCCCCTTACAGTCCGCTAACCTGGTTTCTGCCTAGACCTTGGGCTAGAGTCTTAACCTCTCTGTGCCTCAGTTTTCTAATTTATAAAAGGGGGCTAGTAATATTACCTGTGAGGATAAAATTAAATACCCAAGGGTTTTCGACCTCTATTTGCACATTTCCACTAATGCGACGTTCACTCACATGCACAGCTCTCACCTTTTAAAAAGTCTAACATTTTCACCCCACCTGGTTTGGCTCAGTGATAAAGTGTCCGCCTGGGGACTGAAGGGTCCTGGGTTTGATTCCCGTCCCGGGTTGTGGGCTTGAGCCCAGATATCAATGATTCTCTCATCATTGATGTTGCTATCTCTCTCTCTCCCTTCCTCTCTGAAATCAATAAAACACATTTAACAAAATAAAAAGTCTAACATTTTGCTCTAGCCAGTGTGGCTCAGTTGGTCTGAAAGGTCACCTGTTCACTTCCCAGTCAGCACACATGTCCAGGTTGTGAGTGCTTGCAGGAAGCAATCAACTGATGTTTCTCTCTCTCTCTCACTCTCCCCCTTCCTCTCTCTCTCTCAAATTAATAAAAACATTTTTTTAAAAGGCTAACTTTTATTCTGCACCATGTGGCAGCTCCTGGTCCAAATCTCCACAGTTATGAAGACATAACAGTGTGAAGGATTAAGTACAAAGATCTTCATTTCATAGCAACTGAAGATCAGAGAAATTAACTAACTTTCCAGTGTCACACAGTGGCAGAGGCACGACTAAAGCCCTGGATGTCTGCCTCTACTGTGGTCCACAGAGCATCCTCACAATCCAGACATCCACATGTACGGACCTAGCATGCTGAGCTGGGTACTGGGAAGATGGTACCATGAACAAAATGTGGCTCCTTCTGAGAGGAGCCCACTGCCCAGTGGGAGACAGCCTCTGAACAGGTCATTCTGGCCCAGGATGGAACAGGCGAAGATACAGCCTCATAACACGAATAATGGGCTTTCTGTTTGGTCCCAATTACTGTAAGCAAAACAGGGAATAGTGAGATTTGTGTTCAATATCTGGCTCTGGCACTCCCTGGCTGTGTGACTGTGAGAAAGTTCCTTGACCTCGCTGAGCCTACGGTGGGGATAGGCACTCGGTTTGAGTTTGAAGCTCGGATATGATGCCAGCCCTCTAGCTCCCACCCATCAGTAAAACTTGAAGCCAACTCACAGTGGCCCTCCTGACAAATTCATTAAATACTTATGAAGCCCCTACCTTTGTCAGTTGTGTGTACTGAGGATACATCAGTGAACAAAAGATCAAATCTCCTGCTTTCGTAATGCTTATACTTCAGTGGAGACAAACAGACCACAAACTAGGTAAATAAGCAATATATGGAGTGTGCTGGCCGGTGATGAGGACAAAGGAGAAAAATGAAGCAGGGAGGGGGTGGATGTGGCTGGCATGGTCAGGGAAGGCCGCACTGAGAAAGGTGACATTTGAGCGAAGACCTGGAGAAGATGGGGCAGTGAGCATGCAGGACCTGGGAAGAGAGTTTTCAGCTGAGAGGACAGATGCAGAGGTTGGAGCGGAAAGAAGGGAGAGAGGAGAGTCAGGGGCAGGTTGGTGGGTTGTGCTGAGCTCTCTTCCCAGCTCTGGAGCTGCCTAGTTGCGCCCTCTGTGGAATGGCTCAGGGCTAAGGGTGCAGTGGTGGCAGGCAAGGAAGCATCACCATTTGGTCCCAGCCTCACATCCCCTTTGTATTCTCTGAATTCTGCTTATCTCCACCTTCGCTCATGCCACTTCCTGTGGCTGGGACACCCCTCTTCAGAGAACTGGGGAAGCTGGATAGGCTCTGTTCCTGCTATACCCCAATGAGCCTCAGCGTCCTCTCAGCCAAGTGGAAATGGTCATCCCAGCTCTCCTTGCCCACAGGCCTGGTGGAGAATCACATGCTCTGGCAGGCAACATGGAGATGCAGGGGAGTGTGGCCCAATGGAGCAGGGACAGGAAGGCACGAGTCTCTAGAAGGGTCACGAGGGCTGGCTCCGCCCGTGGTCACCTTGCACAGTATGATCCAAAGCGGCCAGGCTTACTTTTACTGACCGCTTTGGAGACTCATGACTTGATAAAGCTGCTAGAGGCCTCAACCCACAGGGCCCAGGAGATGGGGGGCAGCAGGAGTAAAGAACCAAAGGTAGGCATGGCGAGAGGCGCTCCTGGGAGAAGACCAGTTCTCCAGAGGGTTCTGACTGCACCACAGCTGACACTAGGACTAGCACAGCCACGGGCCTCAATGTCCTGGGTCTGCTGGAGGAACCAGTGGCACACATAAGAGCGATGAGAATCGCCGTTGTAGGTACAAGTTATACATGACCCCATGTCACTGGGGATGGGAAGAGACCCAGGTCAGATGCCTCAGCCGTCAGCAGCAACTGCACACGCACTGAAGGAGCATCGGAGAACACAGTGCTGAGAACTGGTCCACACGCAGGTCTCCTTTTAGCCTTAGGGCAGGACTAGGAGGTAGGTGTCTCCTATCATCCTACACATGGGAACAGGCCCAGGGAGGTTAGCAGAGTGAGGAGCTCAGATAGTGGTCAAGTGGCAGGGCCCATATTCAAATCCACTCTGGTGTCCACTGATGCCCCAGGCCTCGCTGTTCCTGCTCACAGGGCCTGTGAGGGCTGGGGTCACATTCCGCTACCATGGGTGGAACACCAGAACAGCCTTAAGCCTGGGAGCAGGCTCTGCCCTGGACGGAGGCAACCAAGTGGGACTGAGTCACCTGACCCAAGCACAGCAGGGGACAACCAGAAGGCAACAAGAGGAGCGGGTGGAAGGAGCCGAGAAGCAGGTCACGAGGCCTCCTGGCCAGCAGCCCTGAACTGCGCGTTCCCATGCCCAGGTGTGGCCTTCAGAACTGCATCAGGTATCACCAGAGCGGTGTTGATGGCGACATGGGAAAGCACCTGCCCACCCCCCGGTGCAGCCTAACACAGCCACTGTTCCTGAGCCTGCCCAATGGTGGGGTGTGGCTGCTCCTGGAATGCCTTCCCTGGGAGGAGTAGGGGGAAGGCCTGTCCCACAGACTTCAATTCCCTCTCCTCCAGGCGTCTCCTATATTCCAAAGGCTACAAACCTTGCAGCTGTGCTCCCATCACAGCTCCTGTCACCGTGACCATCTCTCACTAGTCATGAACTTCACTGGGGATGGGAGCACATCTCACTCCCCTCTCAGTCCTAGTGTTAGGGTCCCGACCAGGGTGCAACACAAAACCCCTGTGCCCCAGCTCGGAATCACCAGTAAGTGGTTAGGGGAGAGTCAACGATGCTCGACAGTGCTCTGGCTTCCTCTACCTTCTTGGTCAGGGGAACAGCAGGGTATGTGAGGGCGTCACTAACAAGCAGGAACAAGGGCGGCTTTCATCAGCTCGGAGGCCAAGTCAGAAGGCCTGGAAGGGGTGTGAAGCCTCGTAGAACACCAGCTGGACTCCCGAGGGGTCTGCTCGGAAAGGGCCACACTTTCAGACAAGATGCATTTTCCTTTAAAAAGGTTATTCACTCCTAGCACCTGAGAAGCTGCCTGTTTGGGGGTGGGGGATGCTCCAAGAGTCATCTGCTCCCACCATTTCAATTTCAGCTGAGGAGACAAAGAAGACCAAGGAGAAGGGACAGACTGCAAGTCTCAGCTAGTAAAGGGCAAGCCTGGCACTGCTCACCCCCCCAGCTGCCCCCTTTCCAGAGCAGCAGGTGGACTCTAGGTTCCAGCAGTGGTTATGCTGGTCTGCACCCCAGTCTGGGGGCCTACACCTGACGCTGCCTCTTCACCCCCACAGGGAAACGCGCTGGCGGGTGAGCATGGACCCAATCTCTGACCGCGCCCACCACCCCAGCAGCCTACCCTTGGTGCATGGCATTGGGGCCAAGGACAAACCACAGTGCACTCAGTTTTGAAAATCTGAGGAAGGCCCAGTGGTGTATACATTTAGGAAGCTGCTCCAAATGTGGCTCAGAAGGTACCTCCTGAGGGAGGCCAGTTCTCAGCTGCCCGCTTCTTCTGGGTGTCAGTGCAGGCTGGGTTATGGGGACAGCTAAGCAGAGGCGGGACAGGTCCTTGCAGCCCGGGCTGGGGCCTGGCCTGGTTCTCGGGCTCACTCTCCGCTGTGCCGGGCTTTGCCGGTCAGCCGGCGGCGCTGGGTCTTGCTGGTACGGGTGGCACTCGGGGGCTTCTTGGTAGAGTCCTGGGCTCGTCGAGGATGTTTCTTCTTGACTTTTTTGCGGTTGTGTGCATGCAGTGATGCCGTGAGAGAGGAGATCCTGCGGGAGGGTGGCAGGCAGTGAGGCTTGGGGGACAGGGCGTAAGCGAAAGGTGGTGTGGGGGTTGACTGACAGCCCAGCTCATGAAGGGGAAGTCAGGACAAGCCCTCGATAGCGGGAGTACCAAGTCCATTCCAAAGGCAGCCTGCTCTGACCCAGAGGGCGGCCAGCTCCTCAGCTCAGAGAGAGAAAGGTCTTTACCCCAGGTACGAAGGGCTTCCAGGGTCGGCCGTTCTTGGAGTGGGATAGGGGACAATGAGAAGCTGAGGACCACATGAGGCCCCATCCCTGCCCCACCCACAGCACTCCCCGAGCCAGCGGGCGGTGGCGCTGCTGGCCAGATCACCCGGGCAGCCATGCAGAGCAGGCTCAGAGGGAGGACAGGCCGGGCTCACCGCTGGGACAGCAGGGGCTCTCTGGACTTCCTGGGTAAGGCTTTGGTCGGCTTCTCCATGGCTGACACCTCCTCCTCAGGCCCAGGCCCGGCCCCTTGCTAAAGAACACAGGACAAAGATCGTCACAGCCAGCAGTGGACTGGGAGGCCAGGCAATCGTGGCTCTATCAAGTGGGGGCGCGATTCGCCACCTCCCAGGCCTGGGCTGGGGCTCAGGGAAGGCTCTGTATGCCCTGGAGCAGGAATTACGCAGGGAGAGCTGTATTTCAGAGTCCTCCGCTGCCTCAGTTTCCAGTGGGCACGCAGCACTCACAGATGGAAGAACTCTAAAACGGGGACAAAACTTGTCTTTGCATCAGACCTTTCAGGAGATGGAGCACGAAATAGAAGGTGGATAATAAGACGTGGCAAGGCAGTGGCTCCAGGACTTAAGCACAGTGTAGCCCATGATAGGAAATGTGGTCTACCTGTGACTGTGTACAGACAGTCCTCGGGTTACATCGGACTCAACGTACGGTGTTTTGTGGTTACATCGCCATCTCCCATTTATTTATTAAAAAAAAAAAGTTCCGTCATTTTGACGTACGTACTTTATGTTTTTTATTATTTATTTACCACAAGTAAAGGTCGGGAATTGTTTTCTTTCTTTGAAATTTTTTCACTGTTTCACTTCATTACTGCTGTGTATGTGCTCCATATGAGTGACGTAGGTGCTTATGTAGGTGGGTTCTGACTTATCACAAAAATCACGTTCTGTCGTGTTGCAGGAACGGATCTCCGACGTAACCTGAGGACCTACTATATACATGTACACAAATTCCTACACAACCCAGACAGACAGACTCTAACTGAAACTAACTTACTGAGATGCTTTCCGATATTCAATGATAATTCTATTCTTTTTTTTTTTTTTAATTCTCACCCGAGGATGTGTTTATTGATTTTAGAGAGAGAGGATGGTAGAGAAAGAGAGACATCGATGTGAGAAACATCAACTGGTTGCCCAACTGGGAACAAACCTGCAGCCTAGGTATGTGCCTTGACCTGGAATCAAATCGGCAACCTTCTGGTGTATGGGACAACGCTCCAACCAACTGAGCTACACCGGCCAGGGCTACTTCCTCCTTCCTTTCTTTTTAGTGCTCTTAGAAGCCTGCTAATAACTCACAGCCCACAGGTTGAAAACTCACTGTCCGTGCACTCAGATGTGCCGTATTATTATTATTGCTGTTACCATGCCATGGAGTGACCACAGTAAACAGCTATCTTCAGTGCTTCTAATGGGTTCTCCGCTTTTAACCTCACAGAAATCCCACCAGGCAGGTGCTGCCATTAGCGAGCCTCAATGTACTGATGAAAGGAAGAGGCAAAGCAAAGAGAAGCCCAAGCTCCCCAAGCCGCTCAGTGGTGGAGTTCGCCTGTGAAGCCCCAGACTCCAGGGTTCTGTCCGGGCCCAGAGGGAAAGAACCCTTTGCACTGGAATCTCCATGACATGGACCAGGGCTGGGAGTGACTCACATCAGACGGGGAAAGTCCGAGCAGCCGGGCCCCTGAGAGGTCCAGGTCACTGATGGTGGTCACGGTGACTGTGTGGTTGGGGTGGTCATACTGCACTGACTCTGTCTTTGCCGTCACCAGCCGGTCCAGTTCGTCCGCCTCCTCTGTTCAGGGTGAGCACAGAACTGAGCCCCAACACTAGGGCATAATTAACCAGGCCCCAGCCCCTCCCGGTCCCGGAGTGCAATGCTCCTTCTACTCTGTAGGAGAATAGCTGGGAGGTCACTGGCTCCAGCGCCTGGCCTGTCAACAAATGCTATAAGTTATCCAATTCCCCCTTTTGTGTTCCAGGAAACCCTCAGACCACATGGTTCCCACCAAGGACAGGCGCAGTGTGACACAGGAGCTGCTGCCCCTTTCCCTCTACCCCCAGTTCCTCCAGCTCTCAGAAACTGGGCTGTCTGCTCAGAATTGGTTTACCAAGAGGTAGGGTCTCCTCCGTGTCTCCAAGCCACTCACATTCAGAGGTACCCAAGGACCACTCCTGTCCCCGGGGTCATCACCAAGACCCTCAGAGTTAAGGAAGTCAGCTTCCGTGCAGCCCCGGCACCCCTATCCTCCCACCCACCAAGGGATTAACAACTCCAGGCCTGTTGGCTATTCTCCAAGGATGGGACTTACCCAGTGCCTCCTCCCTCTCTGCCAGCATTTTCAGGTATTCTTGGTGGCGCTGAAACCAAAAAGGAGGGAACACAGTGAGTATGATGGCTGTCCAACCCCACCTCAGGCAGGGGCACTGCTCACCTCCAGGGTGAGTGAGTGAAAGACCAGATCCCATCCTAAACCTTCCCCAGACCTGGGCCCACGGTGTCTCTACCTGTACAAATGCTTCCCAGGCCTGCTCACGCCTCCCCTCACCCCTGCAGATGCCCCATTCAGGCATCCGAGGCTGCAGGTCCCCTGGGGTGAGACTCTCCCACCCTCCCCTCTGCACCTCCTCCCGGAGCTTCTTCTGCTCCTTCTTGAGCCGCTGCTTGATCTCCTCTATGGCTGCCTTCTTCCGCTCCACCTTCCGCTTGTGGAAGCCTGTCAGGTACTCCCTACAGGAGAGACAAGGGAGAGTCAGGAGAGACAAGGAATAAAGGCTTGCTCCAAAAACAGCTAAAGTGCACCCTCAGTCCTAACCGGTGTGGCTCAGTGGATAGAGCGTCGGCCTGCGGACTCAAGGGTCCCGGGGTCGATTCCGGTCAAGGGCAGGTACCTTGGTTGCAGGCACAACCCCAGTAGGAGGTGTGCAGGAGACAGCTGATCGATGTTTCTCCCTCATCGATATTTCTAACTCTATATCCCTCTCCCTTCCTCTCTGTAAAAAATCAGTAAGATATATATTTAAAAAAATAAAAAATAAATAAAAAATTGCACCCACAGTGTGCCAGGCACCATTCCCAAAACGTACCTGTGAACTCATGTAATCCTCACAACCACCTGTGCCGTGGGTACCAATCCCTGTCTTACAGACGGGGTCACTGGGGCAGAGAGGCTGGGTTACTTCCCAAGGTCACAGAGGGGAAGGTAAGAAAAAGAGGGAGATGGTGCCTCTTTCTACCCACTACCCTCCGGGGCTTCCAGCTTCAAGAAACAAAGACAGTGATGGGTGTGGGCTGCGGGCCTTTGAACCCAAACAGGCGGACCGTCTATACTGCCCAATTCCATTCCCCGGTGAATTGAGCCACTTCCAGCAGGACTTTCAGGCCAGCCTTACTCGGACCTCTGCACTTTCTGCTGGACCAACACCGCCTTTCCCCAGGGCATTTGCCCGCTGGACCCCTCCATCCGTGCAGGCCTGTGGATGCCCCAGCGCTTCCCTCCCTCCATCTGAGCTCAGCCCCTTCCCGGCTCTGGAGTAACGACGGCACTATTCTCATCCATTCTGGGCCCCCACACTAGGTTTTTCCATGACCCACTACCCTATGCTAAGGTGGCACACATGTAGGAGTGAGTACATGTCTGGTGAGCGAATAAATGAGCTCAAGCTACGCGTGTCATTCATTTATCGTTTATCTTCAACATCTGAGAACATTGCATGCGGGGCGGCCGGCTGGGCTAGGGATGTCGCAGCCATTGCTCCGAAACCCGAACTCCCGGCTCTAAGAAGCTGGGTGGTTTGGGGCGCGGAGAAGAGCTAAGGGAGGGCGGGGCGGGGCGAGCGGCTCCATTGCTCAGGCC